CTGGGTCCTCAACGCTGATTCTGTGTGCACATGGCCCGTCTCAGTGCTTGTCGAGCCGGCCTACTCTCCCTGAAGGGCTTCCTCGGGGCACGGATCCTGCCTTGTAGGTACCAACACATGGCACAGGGCCACAGAGAGGGCACAGCAAGAGGCACGGGCCTCCCATGAACGGGGCCACGCGGCCGCGCCATGGGCTGGGGAGCGCAGGCCATACGGGCTGGCCGCCCTGTCTGATCCGGGGGCCGCGGCAGATGGAGCCGATCAATCCGACCCTCATTTCTGCTGTGTCCAGGCAGTGCTTAAAGGCGCCTCCTCGGAGGAAGGTCACCCTTCCCCCAACTGTTTTCTGCAACTACGCCCCATTCTTTTCTTCACAGCGCTCCTCACTCTCAGTAATTATGTCGTTTTAAACTGATTTAAGGCCTGTTTCCCCAATTAACCTGTAAGCTCCGTGCGGTGGGATCATGTCAGCGTTTGCTCACCGCGGAATCCCTGGTGCTCAGCAGTCTTTGTCACATGGAAAGAGCTCGGTAAATATTTGCTGCACGTTGACTGAATGCCTGAGTCAATGAATGATTTAAAGAGAGAGCGTCCAGGTCTCCTTGTCAAAACACCTGGGCTGACACCTGGCCCTACAGCTTCTGCACTGGGCGTATGGGGGGTGGCCCCTCCCTCTCCACCCCGGGGGCTGGTGTGTGCGGAGGCCCTGCCCTCCTCCACCCCGTCGCTTCGGCAGGCCCAGGACGAAGCCTGTCCCTCTGAGCTGGATGGCCGAGGGGAGCTCATTTGGACTTGAGAGCTGGTTTACTCTGGAGCTCGGTGTGGGCCCCGGAGGCCTGGGCCAGGTGTGGGCAGGGCCAGGCCCCGGGCTCTGCAGGCAGGAGGCATGGCCTTGGCTGTGGCCCTGGACTATTTAGGATCCAGTGGTGGCATCACCAGCTGCGCCTCAACATCCCCGCACCCTCCTGCGCCCCCCTCCCTCACAGAGAGCGGGGAGAAGGGCGCCGTGTGCGTCCCTTTGTTGTTTCCACAGCTGGGGCCTGACGGCCGCTCCCCTCGGGGGGTTGGGGGCCCCCTGAGCCTGTCTTCCCGCAGCCTGGCCCTGCTCTGACCAGCGAAGCCTGCCTAATGCGTCCTGGGGGAGGCCGCAGCCTGAGGCAGAGCGGCTCCCGCTGGCCTGGAGCCGGTGGGAGTTGGTGGGTGTGGGGAGTGGGTGGGGGATGGGGGCTTGAGGGTGGCCAAGTGGGTCGGGGGGGCCCTTCCTGAGGGGGCCGGCTGCGTGGCGTCTCCGGAGGCAGGGCCGCAGGGCCCCCCGGCGCTGCCTGTCTTCAGAGGGCCCCTGGGCTGTGGTGGGCCGCACCTGCTGTGACCCAGCGGGGGCCAGTGTGGCCCCGCCAGCCCCCCGTGGACGGCTCTGTCTCGTCCCAGGAGGGCCAGAGCGGCATCCTCCACCAGCCCGGGGCACAGCGGCACCGCAGTCATTGGAATGAAGGAAAATGTGCCCTTTCTCCTAAACCCACATTTGTGGACCAAGACTCAAAGCGGTTCGAATGTCAGCACCAGGCTGGCAGGCATTTTCCTTTTTGGTCTGTTTTGCTCATTATTGTATTTATTATATCGCCCGATGCACAGAGGCACATGCGGAAAATAACTCACTGGGTGCCCACGAAGATTGTAGAAATTTCTGCTAGGTTCCTCTTTTCACCGTAACCCTAGGAAATTGGGATTCTCGTCCCCATCCTCCCCCCTCCCGAATCCCCTTCCAGCTGCCCCAAAGCATGTGTGCTGTCCTCGGGAGCAACGCGCTGTCTACCCGTGTGCACTCAGTTCGCGTGCCGGTCAGCGTCTCACACCGCATCCTGTTTCCATCTGCACAGCTGCGCCTGCCGTCCACCTTCGGGGTGGGGGTCGCAGGGGGCGCCCTCCGGCACCCAGCTGCCCCGCCTGCCCCGACCCCCTCGGAGGTCTCTGCCCCCAGGAGCGGCCTTGCTGGTCGCGGGGATGCCCGTGTGTAACTTCGCCAGGAGAGACCGCCCCCGCACTCCGCGCCGGCCCCGCGCCCCCGGCCGGCAGGGCTCCTTTCATTTCCATACCTGGCGCTCCTCAGCTATTTTCCAGCTTAATGAGGTACAACAGGGGCCCTCGGTGTTGTTTTAAAGTTGCGTTTTTGCCCGCTTCGGAGGAGGAATTGAAGCTTCGAGAAGGGACGTGCCCCGAGGCCCTGCGGCTGTGTGGGGAGCTGGGCTTTGCCGCCCACCCGGGCCCAGGCTGCAGCCGGCTGCCGTGGAGGTGCCCCTGGCGGGGCAGCGGGCTCGCCGGCACCAGGTCGGGCCTGCGTGGGTGCAGGTCTTCCGCTGTGATCGAGCGCCACCTGGTGGCGCCGAGCGGGAACTGCAGCCACGGGGGCGCCAAGAGGGGCGGGAACCCGGCTGGCCTGACTTTGGAGACTCCTATTGTTTTTTGTTTTAAATCTAAATTTTACTTTTGAGATATAATGGACATATAACGCCTTAACTTCAGGTGTACAGCACGTGTTCTTTGGTGATGAGAATTTTTATAACCCACTCTCTTAGCAACCCTCCAAATACCTAGCCCGCCCCCCGCCTCCCCGTCCCCAGCCGCAGCCCCCACGGAGGCGGGCTCTTTCCTCTCTGAGCTCCGCGACCGCGTCTCCCTGAATTGATGCTTGCACATGGCGCGAAGCAGAGCGTTGATATTTATTCCGTGTGGACGTTTGACCAGCCCGATTTATTGAGAAGCTCTCCCGACCACACCACAGGCCCGCTACTCATAACCGGGGGTGGTCCCCATGTATCCGGCCTGTCTCTCTTTGGGGACAACGGTCTCAGAAGACGCAGGGCCGTGGGGCCCTGCACCAGGTCGTTCTGAGTGTGCAAAATCCTGGAGTGCAGCGTGCTGGCTGCCCGTGGGCCTGGACGAACATTCCTCCCTCCCTGTGCCTGTGGGGCCCCCACCCGGTCCCCTCTGGACCCCCAGAGCGCCCATGTGACCCTCGCGGCTTGGGTAAGGCAGTCTCTTCCCTGCATTCACCTCCCCTCCTTTTTCCAGTCCAAACAGGCCCCAGGGAAGCCTGTCACCCAGCAGTGCAGGCACTGAGGTGGGAGAGGCGGGCTCCCCACAGCCGCTGCCCCGCTAAGGGTCTGGGAGCACCAAGCGGGGGCAGGGCTGGCCTCCAGCTAACACTGCTCTGCTGTGGGGAAGGGGTGCCTGCAGGTGAGTGAGGCCGGGAGCCGGGGCCTGGGGGGCTGGGCGGGCAATGCCCCGAGACCCTGGCTGACTGCGGAGCGGTGCGCGCGGCAGGCTGCCTCCAGGGCCGCCGGCCTGGGGCTGGCGCTCGGGCACTTCCAGCGGGCAGCGCGGGCACCGGGGGGAGCTGGGCAGACCAGGCCCGGGAGGGTGTCACAGTGTGGGCTGCAGGCAGCTCTGCCACGAGTCAGGAGGGCAGTGGGGACTCCTGTCCCCTCTCCAGTCTCCAGCTCTTCACCTTTGGTCTCTGTGTGTTATGGGTTGAATTGGGTCCCCTGTTGGGTCCCCTAAAGGTGTTGCTGAAACCCTAACCCCGCGGGTCCTGGGAATGTGGCTTGGTTCGCACACAGGGCCTTTGTAGATATAATCAGGTTAAGATGAGGTCATTATGGTGGACCCCAATTCAACCTGATTTTAGAAAGAAAGAGGGAAAGAGAAACATCAGTTTGCTCTTCCACTTATTCATGTGCTCACTGGTTCCTTCTTGGATGTGCCCTGGCCAGGATCCGACCTGCACCTTGGCCTTCGGGGACGACTCTCCACCCAACGCAGCCCCCTGTCCAGGGCCTTCCTTCCCAAAGGGACGGGCACTCCTTGGAGCGCTGGGCCTCATGCTCTGCCTGAGCATCGCGGGGCGGCAGGCTCCGGCCCACGGCTCCGACCTGCCCGCTCCTCTGAGCGCCCTGCCTGCCTTTAGTGTGCTGTGCATGGGCTGGGGCGGGGGAGTGGGTTCTGGAAGCCTCCACGACTTTCCTCGGGCTCCCAAAGCAATGACTTAATGGAGAAGGCCCCTCACCTCTACTCTGAGGGGCTTTAGAGCCGCTGGGTGGGGCGCAGGAGTTCACAAAGCAGACGGGAAACCCTGCTGTTCGCTGTTCCCAGGCAGAGTGAAGGCCGGCCTGCTGGCCGATGGGGGTGGCTCATGAGCGACCCCGGCCCCCTGTGGGCTCCCCTCGCTCCTCGTTCAGGGACCACGTGCCTTTGGGGCCAACCACCAGGGGATGTGGGTTCGTCATCAACAGCTTTTCAACAGAGTTTGGCTCAACAATGACACACCCAGTTCTGAGGACCCCTCTGGGAAAGCAGGGGCTGGTCTGCCCCCGGGGGCCGAGGGGACAGCTTACGTTTCCACGCAGCTTTTAAGCCTCCGACGCTGTGCCGCGCTTCCCGTGCCAGCCTGTGGGTCCACCCCCACGGCAGGCAGGCGCCATGACGGCCCTCTTTCCAGAGGAGGGAACCAAGGCACAGAGAGGTAAAGTGACGGCCAGCCGGCGGGGCAGCTGGAGTGGGGACGTACTTGGGACACCTGCAGGGAGGAGAAGGGCCTGGGCTTGGAACCTGCCTGGCAGCTGCTCCGGGATGGGGACCCTGTCGGAAGGGCCCTGTGTGTTTGCCTGGGTCTCCAGAATGCGAGGCGACAGGGCGGGGGGTGAGGTGGGCCGCTGGCCTCGCCCCCGCCCTGCCCTGCTTGGCTGTGCGGCCCACTTCTCTAAGGCTTCCTCCCCAGAGGCCCTTTCCAAGGCGTGTCCCGGTGTGGGGACAGCCCCGCGCCCGGAGTCGGCTCTGACCCGATGACGAGGACAAATGCGGCGCCGGCACCAAGTCCATGCGGCCTCATCTTGTTTTCTAGTCCCTGCTCCCTGAGACCAGGTGTTGTGCGCCCGCGACAGCGTCCGGCGGCCCCGGGCCCCGGGCGGAGCGAGCCCAGGGAAGGCTCGGGGAGGGGGGGTGCCTCAGAGGGCCACCATGGGGTTTGTGGCAAACACCTTCTTGGTGTCAATCTCTGCTTCGACCATGTGGGGGTGGATGTCCACCACCAGACCTGCGTCCTTGCACAGCTTGAGCAGGGTCCGGATGTTGTTCTTGGACAACCTCAGGTATCTGTGCAAGACAAGGTCAAAGAGGTCAGCTGAGGGCCAAGTCACTGTGGCTTTGAACTTGATTGAAAGGCGCTTAGATTTTGCCCTCTGGGACCTCCCAAAGGGACTGGCTCCAGACATTTCTGGAGCTGACAGGGACCTTATTAAAAAAAAAGTGGGACGCCCCACAGAGTCGCCGGGAGTTTTACGGGTAATAAGCTCTTTTGGAAATCAGTGTGGCAACATATATGCCAAGCGCTGCCCTTGCCTGCCCCTCCCCCCCAAAAGCTCGTTATCTTTGCCTCCGTCACTCCACTCAGGCCCTCGACTTCTCTCAAGGAAAAAAGTCAAGGGAAAGAAAAGCCAAATAAATAAAAGCGTTCATTGGGGGGTTTTCGGCAGTGGGAAAGCAGGAGATTCTATAGCAGAAGGCTGGTTAAGCAAATACGGGAATGGCCACTCAAGGACCGTTGCGCCGGCACTCAGACAGCGTCGGGGAGCAGCGGGGCGATGCGGCTGTGGCTGCGCCAAGTGCGGAGGAGAGGCCAGGGTGCGACCTGCCGGGTGTGGCTCGCAGCACTGCCTCCGTGGCCTGAGGGACGCCGAGGTCGGGGGAAGAGAGGACTGGGAAGAAAGGCTGAGCGCGGCTGTCGGAACGGAGGCGAGCATTTTCCTCTAAATATTCCAACTATTAAAAAGTCGGGCCATTGATGTGAAATGAGCCCAAAGCTCGACAGCCCTGATGGGCCCTGAAGAATAGGACGGATCGGCCTGGACGTTGCTCCCGGCTTCGGGCCAAGGGCCAGGCCCCTCGATGGGCCTCCAGCTCGCTGGTTACTGTGCTGCAGGTGACAGGGAGGAGCTGCACGCGGACACAACCAGGTTTTCCGCCCATCAGGAATGGCCCCGCTTCTCCTTCAAGGTCCGCCCAGCGCTTCCCTGTTCTGACTGCTGACTGGCCGCCATCGGCCCGCACCCGCCGCCTCGCGTCGCCGGCCCTGCCCCCGCTGCCCGGGCGGGCGGCTCGCACGCATGTGCGCGAGGGCACTCGCTGAGGCCCGTTCCGGGCCACTTCGCCCTTCTCTTGGGTGCTCCTCTCCAAACACTCTTCCCGGTCCTGTGAGTCCCTTGAGGGCGGGGCCTGTCCTCTCTCCTTCCCCACCCCCGTGGGGCCCAGGCTGGCCGTCTGCTTGCCGGCCGGGGCCAGTTAGGACCCCTGACAACCGACAGCCAGGGCCAAGGCCATTGGCCATGGAAGCGACCAGAGCAAGAGTCCCCTTTAGTCGGGGAGGCTGCCGGTTCATCTCCCAGCCAGTCAGCCAGTCAGAGCGCAACGCTGGCCCCTGCGGCCACTTCCAACCTACTCGCGAGGTCACTGCTTCAACTCTGCAAGGACAGCCAGGCTCTGCCGTCCCACGTCCTCCTCTGCTGCAGTCGCCAAACCTTAGTTGTGTCCCCACAGCAACGAGTGACCCTGGGCTGGGGAGGGATACTTGAATTCTGGGGTGGGAACCGAGCTGTTAGTTGTGTGGCTCAAAACGAGCGGGTCTGATACATAAGACAAAAAGCGAGGACGGAGACCCCTCGGTAGGAGCGTAAACACTAAGTGGTCCCGCCCTTTGCTCGGGTCCCCTGGGGAGTCTGAATGCCCGGACAGGACAGCGAGCAGGGGGCCCCCAGGGAGGGGGGCTCCTCTCAGCAGCCGCCCGGCACCACAGCGCTGGACTCTCAGTTTCTGTTCCAACAAGGCCACCCACAGCACACTCTTTCCTCTGAGTAACATCGGGAGCGCTTACTATGAAACAAACAGAAATATCGGGAAGGCCGCAAGTGTCCAAACGGCAGCTCCCAAGGTCGCGTCCACCCAGGACATGGTGCGTGGGCAGGGGAGGCCCCTCCTTTGGGGCTCAAAGACAGAGCCCACCCTCCCGGTCTCCGGGCTCAGGCCAGGGGTCTGGACCAGGGGCAGCAAAGCGTGCTCGCCCAGGATGCCAGGCGCAGGCGCGCGGGGCTGCTCACTCACCGGCAGCTCAGCACCTCCTCCGGCTTCAGGATCTTCACGGTCTCCGCCTTGGGCTCGGCGCCCCTGTCTATGAGGCTCTTCAGCCTGCGCTCGTAGGAGGACTCGGGGATCTTGCCTATCAAGTCTCTCAGGAGGATCGACTTCCGTCCGGTGTAGACAGTGTCCTGCAACATGGTTTCCACTAGGCTTTGTCGGGTGAAGGGCAGTGACCGCTGCGTGGACTCTGGGGCAGCTGAGTCCTTGGTCTCCATCTCTGCAACTGGACAGAGGTCGGCGGGAATCAGGATCTGGGAGAGGTGGCAGGCAGGGCAGGCGGGGGCAGGGGCAACAGGGCCGGAAGGCAGCACGGGCTCCCAAGGACACCTGCTAGGAGACGTGAGGTCTTCTCAAGGCTGCGGCAGCTTCTCCTTCTTGGCGTCTGTTTCATCCGCATCCTTTCCTCCCTCCTTTCTCCCTGCCTCCCCAACGCCCTTCCTCTCCCTTCTTTCCTTTATCCTCTGCTCTCAATTTTTCTTCTCTCCCTCCCCAGATGGAGTTCACCTAAAAGGGAACTTCAGCCGGGAAGGGTTAAAGGAAGATCTCAGGGGAGAACAACTTCGAGCTGGGTTTCTAAAGAAAAACGAAGGAAAGGGGAAGGGAGGGTTATGCAGGCGGCAGGAGCAGCGTGCGCGGGCGGGAGGGACAGCAAGCACCGAGGCAAAGGTAGAAATACACGAACTGGCGAGTGTCTGAGGTTGCCCAAGTATGGGATTTGTACTGGATGAAATACTATTGGGGCTAGAGCTTGGAGGCCTTAATTTTTTTTCTTTTTGTTAAATTTATTCCTAAGATTTTTACAGATTTTTGTTTATGAGAATGGAATATTTTCTTCTCATTTCCATTTCTAACTGGTGTGATTAGTATAGAAAAAAGACTATTCTTTTTAAAAATATTTTTTCCACTACACCAACAAGGATACCAAATTTTATTAATTTTTGACTAGAATTTCTTGAGCTTTGCAGATATGCAATCATATTAGGAGAAATGAAAATATCTTCTAATGTTTATACAAATTATGTACTCTTCTTGATGTATTTGATAGACTCTCCAAAACAACGTTAATAATGATGGTAGCAGTCAGGTCTCATTTTGTTTCTGATTTTGGTTAAAAAGGTTTTAGCACTTCATCATTTAGAATAATATTTGCCACTTTTTGATACATGTTTTATACCATTTAACAGCTTTATTCCTAGTTTATAAAGGTTTTTATCAGTAATAATTGCTTGATTTTTAAATTAATTTTCTATCATCAATGGTCATAGGGTTTTTCCTTTCATTTATTGGTGTAATAAATTATATTATTAGATACATTGATATGGATAATCTAGTCATTTGTAACCTGCAATAATAAATCCCTCTTGTTCATGGTTTAGAATTCATTTCAAACATTGATATATTTAATATGTTTTCATACATTGAGGGTATTTCCTGTAACTTTTTATATTTTTTGCACATATATTATTGTGAGATTGGCCTACTCTTGCATAATGTTTTAATATTAAGATTATGATGGCTTGTTAGGTTAATGCAAGAATGTCCATATTTCACGGGCTCTTTGACAGTTGGAGGGACATTGGGATTATTTGCTCTTCAAGGTTAGAAAGGACCTGGTGTGAAGCCATTTGTCCCGGTGTCTTTGTTAGTGATCAAGTGTCAACAGTCTTTCTATTTTTTACTTCAGAATTTGCTCTTTTTCTGCTCTTTATGATATCAATTTTGATCATTTATGGTATGAGAGGGGATTACTCATTTCTTAAGGTTTTCAAATATATAGAGATGCATGTAATATTCTATGAAGGTTCATTGAATGTATTTACCTTTGCTTATGTACCCTTCTCATACAAGACTTTGTATATTTGTACTGTTCTTTTTACAAGGCTCATGACAACTTCATGTTATTCATCACATGATTTTTTCAAAAGCTAGTTTTGGATTTATTCTTTTAACTACTTTTTACCTTGTATTTCATTAATCTCAGTTGGTATTTAATGTATCAATTCTCTATTATATTTCTTCTTCTATCTTACTAAATTAATAAAAGTATTGGTTTTGCCTTTGTCATTTTTGTTTTTATAAAGACAAGAACCATTACTATCAGATCTTACTGTACATTTTCTTCTGATCATAGATTTTGCCTTCCTCCCATAGATTTTGGTACTAAACAAGCTTATTTTCATTAGTTCTTTTTCCTTTGATGTAGGGTATTTAAAAAATGTGTTTCTTAATTTCCAACTGCTAAGTGGGCGGACCTTCTAACTTTAATGTTATTTTTAATTATTGGCTTAGGATACTGTAAGTGGCCCTAAAATCTTTGCCTTTTTGAATGGTAATATTTTCTTTGTGATGAATATACAGATGATATTTGTAGATATTCTTTGGCCATAAGAAAAGAATATGCATTCTTCGTTTATATCTAAAGTTGTGGTTTGTCAGTTGCATTGTTAGAGTGTTCTCTGGATTTCTGCTGCTGTCTATGTGTTATATTTGGTTCTTAAAGAGGTACATTAAAGTCCCCACCACAACTGCATTTCTATCAGGTTCTCCTTGTGTTTCTAAATGTTAATCTATTTAGCTACTATATTTTTTGGTGTGAGTAGATTTTAAGGTTATTATCTTTCTCCTTAACATTGAAAAATATCGCTCGGTTAGTCTATGTGTTTCTTTTAGCCTTAATTTCATCTGTTTGCATTTCTTATCTGTTTTCTATCCTTTTTGTTTTCAGTCCTTCTATATTACTGGTTTTCAGTGTGTATGTAGATTTTCATTTTAAACCAGTAATTTCCCAATTTGGTGTCTTTGTTCTCTTCTACAGCACTTTCTGCGGTTGAAACGTAGAGCCGAGAAGGTCCCTACACGTTCCCACATCTGCAACTACTGCTCCCATGCACGGATGGTGGCTTGCATGCGCCTGGGGACAGGATTGGGGGCGGGGGCGGCAGGTCTTCCTCTCGTGAGCCATGTGTGCCTCACGTCCCGGTCGGTGCTGCTCCAACCCTTTTTTCTCTCTAAGTTGCTCTCCCTGTGAGCCGGTAACATTTCACCAGCAGCGTCCAGGTGTTTTTCCCAGGTGGCGTCTGGGGGCAGGAGTCCCAGCCCCTCCTCTCCAGGGGTGGAAACAAAGGGCGGCCACCGGGACAGAGGCTGCGACTTGCCGTTGCGGTCTGCGTTTCGGAAAGGCCCACCTGAGGCCTCTGCTTTCAGCCGGGTCTGTGCTTCCACCCTAAGCAATGACAAAGCTGGGCCTGTGCCGTGATACAACAGTCTTGAGATGTTGGACGACGGGCAGAACAGATGAGGGGCGTCTTGTGAGGGCCCCAGCTGACCGCTGGGGCCCAGGGAAGGAGCCCGGAGTCGGGGGAGAGAGCAGGCGATTTGGACGGGTCCAGGCAGCGAGGACTCACGTGGCGGAGAGGCAGGAGGAAGCAGCCTGAGGCCAGTCGGCCCGTGCCCAAGGGGAAGCCTCGCAGGGCTGGGGGGGCAAGACACGGAGGCAGCCGTCGTGACTGCCCTCCACATGTTCAGCAGGGCTTGGGCAGGGGGCGAGGGGCACGGGATGCTACAAACACCCCAACTGAAGGTCTAGAATGAAAACTACCGTGTCTGGAATGAAACATACATCGGACGGGATCAACATCAGATGAGGCATTGCGAAGAAAGGGTTCGTGAATGTGAAGACATAGCAACGGAAAATATAAAAAAAGAAAAACAAACAGAGAAGCCTGGGAAAAACCCCAGTGAGTTGTGGAACTTCAAACATGTGTATTGTGATGCCTGGAAGAGAGGGGGGCGGGGGACGGACAGGAAGAAATATTTAAATAATGGCCAAGATTTTCTCAGTTTGACGAAAACTGTAAACCGAGAATCTCAACAACCCCCAAAACACACAAAAAATAAGCAAATGACATCAATGTGCATTCCAATCAAATTGCTTAAAAAATTATTCAAAGAAGCCGGGGGAAAAAAGATATATCACAGCCCTGGGCAGGGGCCCTCGTTGGTGGGAGTGCTATCCTGTTCCCCACAAGGTGGTGGGATCAGGGCTCAGCCGGGGCACGTGCAGGGGCAGCTGATGAATGCCTCTCTGTCACATCAATGTTTCTCTCTCTCTCCCCCTTCCTCTCTCTCTTAAATCAATAAACATCTCCGCAGGTGAGGATTAAAAAAAAACTAGTTGACAAAAAGACGCATTCCAGAGGGACGTGTGTCCACACGGCAGCCAGCTCCTCTGAGGAGACGGCGTAAGCTGGTGACAGGCGAGCCGAGCCCACCCTGGTGGCGATCGGGCTGCCCGATGCTGCCGCCCCAGGAGGGCCGGAGCTTCCGGTGCCCTGCGCGGAGCTGATTACGGAGGGCCGTTCGGGCACGTGTCCGGGGCCGAGGCGCGTCCCTCACCGAGTTTCCCAGGGCCGTCCTTGCTGTAGTTGCCGGGAACCATGCTCAGGCGTCTTCCCTTGGCCTCCACTCCGTAGAGCCTTCGGTACGTGACGGCGTCCTTGTCCTTCCTGGGGCTTGGCTCCGGGTTCTTGGAGGGGAGCAGGACAGAGGTCGCACGCTGGGGGACAGGCGTGGCCTCCTCCACCCTCAAAGGGAGCGGTGTGAAGGGCTCACTGAGAGACACGCTCTGGGGCGTGGGGGCAGGTTGGGGGGCGGGGGGGCGCACTGGTGCCTGGTCCGTAGCTCCTCGCTTTTGTGGCTGTGTCCCAGGGAAGCTGTGTGGGGCCATGGGCCCCACAGCCGGGGGGCACTGCGGTCTGGGGCTCTCATCTTCCCCCCCGGCACTCCAGAGTGGCACGAGGAGCAGGGAGAGGGGGCGATGGGACCCTCTGCCCCTGGGGTGCAGGTCTTCCCTGGGGAGGGGCCGATTGTTGGGTGGGAGCTAGGTGGGTGGGGGCACAGCGATTTCCTCTGGTGTTAGTGCGAATGGGTCTTAGAGCCTTACATTCTTTGTCTATAAAGTGGCCCTGCAGTGCGTGGGAGCGGAGTGGGCACCCTCCCTCCGTGCGGGCAGCCTGGCGGTGCAGGCCGGGCGGGGCGGGGGGCTGCCTTACCTTCTCCGAGAAGGACACTCGGCCGCCCTCTCGTGCCTGTTTCTTGGTGAGTTTGGGTTTCCTGTCTTCCTTCTCCTTCTCTTGGGCTTTGGGGGGTTCCACCACCTTGGCGTGTTTCTGAGAGGGCAGAGAGAAGGGAGCTGCGTCCCTGCCCCTCCACCCAGGGCTCTGGCGCCCCTCGGGCCTCCTGCCCACCCCCCGCCCAGTCCCTCTGCCTCCGGACATGCCTGGTGTCCATTGCGCCCCCCGTGCCCAGTCTGGCAGTGCCTCTTCACCCCAGGACCCATCACCAGCTCCCTGTCACCCTCCGTGGAAGGGCCCCACTCCCTGGCCTGGTTCAAACACCTTCCGGCCCCCAGGTGGCCTTTCTGGCTGTGACTTTCCCGCCACGGCCTCCAGTCTAGAGCCAGAGGGCGGCCACCTTGTCTGGAAGTCCAGTAGGATGCTCCCTCTGTCCCAAAGTCCCCTCCTGCCCTCACCGCGCCCCACCCATCCTGTCCCCCGGGGGCAGCCATTGCAATGCGCCCCGCCTCTCTCATGGCCTGGTGCTCCTGGTGGCCAGAGGGGCTGAGCACGCTGCCCGAGCCCCAGTGCGCTTCCCTGTGCACGTGCCTGGCCCACCAGCCTGCTGGGCAGGCCGGGAGGACGGTGCGTGAGGAGCAGCGGGGGCCAGTGAGGAGGGGCCGCAGAGGGGCACCTGAGCCCACCCACACAGGGTGGGTGGGCGTGAAGCGTCACAGGAAAGCCACATTGACCAGGTCTCCCCACAGGGTGCGCCGCTTGCAGCAGTGGCGAGACCGGTGGTCAGGTGGCTGGGCGTGGAGTCCCGTCTGCGGCCGGCTGAGCAGCCTTGGGGTTGCGACTTCTCTCTGCGGCTCGGTCGTCTTCTTTGAGAGGGGCCGGTGGCAGGCTCCGCCTCCCAGCGCCATCGTGAGAAATCAGTGAGCCGGCGCGCGGGCGTGACGCCAGGGGGCAGGAGTGTTGCCGTGAGCTGCCCGAGGGCGTGCCGGGGGTGTGCTTGAGGCCCCCCCCCCGAGGGCGGGGGCGGGCCGCCTCGGGGTTTTGATTTTTGTAGTGGGGATGGGGCTGCAAAGTCCAGGTTGAGAGGAGAGGCCCTGGCCAGCGTCTCCAGGGGCCGGTCTCTGCCCAGGAGTCCTGGGGGCAGCCCCCCGCCCCCATTTTGGAGAGAGCCGAGTGGAACGGATGTGGCCATACCACAGGCCCGGGGGCCCTGCAGCGGCCGCTGAGTCATCAGCCCTTGTGGCCAAGATGTGGGACCTCAGGGGTCCTCTGCGATGCCAAACGGATCCCAGGGCACAGCCCCTGGGTGGCGCCGTGGCCATGCTGAAAGGGGGGAAGGCCTGGGCCACCAGGACACGGGGCAGGAGGCCACAGACCGCACCTCCGACGTCCTTACTGAAGGGTCCCCTGCCTCTCGTGCTGCTGAGACCTGCCCCGGGAGCATCACCTCCTTTTTCCGTCGCTTCTTTCAAAATCCAAATGCTTCTGAGAAGGGTAATGATCCTTGAAGATTTAATTGTCTTTTCCACTTAAGTGTGTTCCCTCCCTGGGTCCAAATTATTTATAATAAAAGCCACATATAAGGTACAGCTGTGCAAACATTATTAGAATATCATCTTTGTGGAAAAAAGCGGGACCCAACATGTTTGTCACAGAGGTGAACACAACGCATGTGACCGGCAGGAAATGGGGTGCTGAGCGGCCCAGCAGCCCAGCCTCTGCAGCCCCAGAAACGTGGGAGGTGGGGGCTGTCAGTCAACAGCGAGCACTCCAGTGTCACACACACCGGCCGGGGGAAGCGGCGGGCCAGCTCTGTGACCGGAAGCGAGCAGAGCAGACGCTCTGCGGCCTGGCAGGGAGCGCGGAGCTGGGTGGAGCGGCGCTGGCGTTCCCGACAAGGCCGTGGGCGTGGAAATGGGCCGACCCGAGCCTGAGCTGGGGCCCGGCCCTGACTGAACTCCGCGCTCAAGCACAGTGCTCCCCCCACCCCCCCGGCCCGCGACCAGGTCCCTCAGCCGGGGACTAGGAAGCAGCAGCTGCTGAGGGGGCTGGGCGGTGCCACGCCCAGGGCCCGGCGCCCAGGAAATGCCTGGAGCCAGTGTGGTCCTTGCTGACACCGCTGTCCACCCATTTTGCCCTGGGGACCGGGCCATCCAGGGCAGGTGGACCCCGCCGTGGAGGAAGCTGCTCTCCCAGGACATGACTTGATTTTCCGTAGATGATGGGCCTGGGGTGGGGGGGTCTGGAGGGATGGGGCAAGGGGGGAAACTGAGGGAGGGGCAGTGCTACAGACTGAGTGAGTGCCTGTGTCCCCCTTCAGTGGCGTGGGGGACCCTGGCTCCCAGCAGGGTGGCATCAGGGGGCAGGACTTTGGGGCAGGATGGGTCATGAGGGTGGGGCCCCCACGAGTAGGATTAGTGCCTTTCATAAGAGAGACCCCCAGGCTCTCCTGTCCCCTCTGCCACGTGAGGACACGGCACCTGCGCACCGGGATGTGGGCCCTCAGCAGACACCGCAGCTGGCAAGGCCGCGGTCCGGGCCGCCGGCTCCAGAGCTGGGGGCACGACGCCCTGGTGGGCAGGCCCCTGTCAGGACGCTCTGCTCTGGCAGCCCGGGCTGACTGGGACAGGCTGGCCAGCCTGGCTCTGAGGCCGCGTCGGGAGGAACGGGCGTGTTGGTGGGAGTGGCGGGGGGCAGCGGCAGGGACAAGAGGTGCCCCTTGGCCCTGGAGCCACCAGGAAGACACGAGTGTCTGGGGACAGTGGGAAGGACCCTTTCCTGCCAGCATGGAGACCCCAGAAGCTGCTGCCCCTCAGACAGCCGTCTGCAAACACTGAGCGAGGTGGCCTTCCATTCCCCTCATCTCGGCTAAGCCAGCTTTCTTCCTTACCCTGGGCCGGCCTTCCCTTTCTCCGCCATTTCTTTCAGCAAACTCGGGTCTGTGAGCTCTTACAGGCCAGGAATGCTTTTCTCCAGGACTCGGGAGCCGTGCCTTTGAAATGCATTCACCAGGAGAGGGAGCACCCCCAGCGCCGTCTCTGTGGGCGGGGGCAGCAGCGCCTACCCGCTCTCAACGAGGAGGGAACACAGCAGCCTGACCTTAGGGACGGCCCCTCCCGCCCTCAGCGCTGGCCGGGCGGCTCAGCGGGCTAGCGTGTCGCCCTGCTCCACCAAGGCTGTGGGTCATCCCTGGTCAGGGCACGTGCAAGAGTCGACCAATGAGGCATCAAGAAGTGGAACAACAAACCGATGTTTCTCCCTCCCTGTCTCTCTCCCTCCCTTTCTCTTTCAAATCAATAAATAGTTTTTTAAACACCCCCCCCCCCTTTCCTTCTGGAGTCAAGCTCAGCCCCGCCCCCACTGCCACAACCTCGCCAGAGCCGCCCGTGCTGTCTGGGGCCAGCGCGCACCTGCAGAGCCTGCTTCTTGCCCTGCCTCCGCTCCAGCCACTCCAGCACCCGCGTCAGGTCGGACAGGCGTCTCTCCTCGGCCGTCCTCCACGTGGACTTCCGCTCTGTGGGCATCAGGTCCTCCTGGTCCTCCGACTTCCCTGGCACCATGGCGTCGGGGGGCGGCGTTGGGTCGAAAGGTGGCATGTTCCCACCGGGTCGAGCCCCCTGTGGCCAGGGGCTGGCCTGGGGGCTCCGGTGGGGGACTGCGGCCTCTGCGGGGGAGGAGGAAGGGCAGAGTTAGGCCAGCAGCTGGGATGCTGGCCCTCTGGGGCGGGGAGGCCCAGCGGGTGCCTGTGAGGTCGCTCTCAGCAGCCAGGCAGAGACTCTGTGACGCCACAATGGCAGCTGAAGTGCCCTACCCCGGAGGGGGAAGCGCGACCCGCCGCCAGCCGGGCACGAGGACGAGGCCGGGTGGGGCGGCGGTGCGTCACGCCTGAGCCTGGAGCGAGGGGGTAGCCAGGTCGGCCCAAAGGACGGGCACTTGCGAAGGCCCCGGGCAGGGTGGAAGCCTGCACCCTGGAGGCATGACGGGAGCCCAGGGCGCCTGGCAGGAAAGGGCTCTGGGCAGGTGGCGGAGGCCGCCGGCCAGGCCTCTGGAGCTCACATGCCGGCTCCAGAGGGGAAGGACGGGGAAGCAGGGGGAAAACGACAGAGGAAATTAGAGAGGAGCGGGGACAGGACCAGGGTTGTGTGTGTTTTTTAAAACTTTTATTGAAAGAAATTGTGTACAGAAATGTGCAGGAATCACAAATGGAGACTGAGTAACTAGTAGCCCTGAATTGCCCCTCAGGGCCCGGCTGGTCACCGCCTCCCCCGACACTGTCCTATCCGCTGATTGGACAGATGTGTTTTGTCGTTTGAGTTTTATATACATGGAATCAGAGACACATAGTTTTCTGTATCTGGCTTTATTCATTTTACAGTAGATTTGCAGGATGTTAGCAATGAGTTATTTTAGTCTTTGTGGCTATGAAAATGTCTGTATTTTACCTTCTGTTGTGCAGGGAGGCTCGCTGGAGGGTGGGCTTCTTCTTAACACTTTCTCAGCGTTCACACACCGCGTGGCTGCCTCCCGCCCTCCCTGTTCTAACGGGGAGGTCGGCCGCGAAGCGCACGGCCGTGGACAGCTGCCTCCTCCCCGTTTAGCGGGTGCTTTGGCAGGACAGCGGCGGTCAGCCTGCCGTCTGACCGCAAAGCCCCTGCGGTGTCGAGTGTCAGGGCCGCGGCTGCTCCCGCAGGGCCGGGCGCCCGCTCCGTCCGCAGGTGAGGAGGAGACCAGAGCCCGGGGGGCCCCAGAGACCTGCCCAAGGTCAATGCATAAGAGCAGAGGACCCAGAGATTCCATTAATGACGACGAGGCCTCCGCCGAAGACGTGTCCGATCTGCTGCCTTGGATCAGGGGCCTCAAGTTCAAGCGGGAGGCAGGCGCCACAGAGGCGGGAGCTGGCTGGGTGCAGGCAGGGCTGTGCGGGCTGCAGAGAGGCGGACGGCGGCGGGCACTCAGCTTCTGCTGGCTGTAGCCACGTGTGAGGGCCAGGCCTGGGCGGTCGGGCCCTCTGATATTTTTTTAAGAGAAGCCAGAAATCCTGATGTTTATGTGAAATTAGTTGGAGACAATTTAAAAGGAAATGCTAATTGGACAAAGCCCACAGGGCCCTGCCCAGGCCCAGGGATGCCCAGGACCGCGCTGTGGGGCTCCAGGAGAGAGGGGCTGGGGGCCGGGCTCCGGCAGCTCCGCCCCTCAGAGGCCGAGAGCCCCGAGTACCGACAAAGGTTTGACGGTGCCTCTCACCATCCCAGCTCAGCCCAGGAGACACTTGAGGCGAGATCCACAGGGGATTTTCCACACGGTGCCGCGTGGTCCCTGCAGGGATGGGCTACCTGTCTTTTTTACTTTGTCCTCCTTTCTGGTATTTTAATACTCAGTATCGTTGCAATTCTCAGGGGCCACTTAAAATATATATCATCTTATTAGCGAGAACTGCTTCCCTGTGGCCGGTCCGCGTCCCGCGGAACAGCCACCGGTCCCCAGTCTCGGCAGGGCGTCCGAGGCGGGCGCTTCTGACTCTCAGCGCTTCATCTGCCCTAGTTTTCCAGGAGGCTCCACGCAAACATCTCAATGAGGCCGCAGGCGGGGTGTGCTGTGCGTGGCTGCGATTTGCATGCGCAGCCCCTGCAGATCCCCGCGTCCTGCGGTCCTTTCTTTGCTCTGCCGGGCCCCAGGGAGGCCTCTGGCTGCCTTCCCGGGGCACATGCCTTGGGGCTGGAGGGCTGTGATGGGGAACCAGAGCCCCTGGAACCACCGGCTGGGAGCCCGGGACGCGGACCCCCCAGGGCCCTGCTTCCTTGGCTGTGGCCCTGTGACCTTGGGTTCCCTCTGCCCTCCAGTGTGTCTGCGATTCAGCCTGTCAGGGAAAAGGACTCAATTCGGGGCTGTGAACCAGGGCGAGGGATGTGTGGCCCACAGACGTATCTTGTTCGGCCTGAAAAGAGTTTTAGAAATGAGGACATTTCATTGAAAAACTTCAGAGCTCAGGCCGGTGTGAGGATAACAGAGAAGCGACCTGGCCTGGCCGGGCCGGGCCGGGCCGGACCTTCCCCCGGGGATGAAGCGAGCGTGCCGTCTGCTGCCACGGCCCCTCCCTGGCCCTTCTCACCCACCCGCGTGGCCTGCTTGTCCCTGGAGACGTGTGTTTGTGATCCCAGACTAGGGGCAGAGCCCAGGACTGAGTGCTAGGTCCCCTCCTTCCTCTGTGGCCTCCTGATCACATGACCACAGGGAGGCTGACTCTCCACAGACCTCAATGTCCTCGTCCATAAGGGGCACCAATATCAGCCTTGCTTCAAGGTGGGCGTGTTGGGGGCGGGCTCATGAGACAACCAAGGGCTTTACAAAGTTGTAGAAACTTGGGGCACATGGGAGTCCACCGGCGCCAGCTGTGCATCCTTGGGCAGGTCGCTTAACCTCTCTGGTCTTTTCCATAAAATAAAGCCACAAATAGTTCCTGTTCCCTGTAATTGTGAGCACTCAATGAGCTATGTGGATGAAGCTCTTAGCACGGCACCAGGCGTGCGGTCGGTGCTCAGCAGTAGCCGGGGGTACAGATGGCGCACAGCACATGGGCCTACGACAGCCAAGGGTGGGAGCGGTGCGGGGAAACACTGATCACACAAGCCGATGGCCGGGGAGCGCCACAGAGGGGCTGGCGCAGACAGGGCCACGGGCAGCCTGGGCAACAGCCTCCTGTCTCCTCCTCAGGCGGCGGCCGGGAGGCCAGGGCGTGCGGGGAGGGGCTTTGGCATTCGGCTTGGTCCCTTGGGCCCCGGAGGACAGCTCAGGGCTCATTCCTGGCCGCCCGCCCCCGCCTCCCTGAGACAGCGGGCAGGGGCCTGGCCCAGCCGGTGCGCGGCGTGGCTGACCCTGGATGCGGGGCAGCTGGGTCAGGCGGGGGTGGTCTGGGCTGGCCGTGCTGAGACAGCGCCTGCCCCTCCCGCACCTCAGCGTCTGTCGCAGGGACGCACTGCGGAGGCCTCTGCCCTGCAGCAGGCGCTCAGCCACAGCTGCAGACAGGTTCGGCGGTGACACGTGGGGGGCGGGGTGCCCCTGCATCAGGTGGGTGGACCCAGGGAAGCTGCTGGACCTCCCACAGTGCCCAGGACGGCCTCCACCCCTGCCCCCAACAGAGAACCATGCAGCCCCAAGTACGGGTAGCGCTGAGGCTGGGAAATCCCATCCTACTGGGCAACAAAGACGCGGAACAAACTGCCGCGCGAAATGTGCTCAGGCTGTGCTAGGAGTCAGGCCGGGGAGCCTGGGGGTGGGAGGAAGTCACTGCGCCAGAGAGAAGCGAGGGCGCCCCCGTGGGAGGTGAGGCCACCTCACTGTCCCGTCTGTGCCTCCGGAGCTCCTCGTCACAAATGGCTGGCCCGGTGCAAGCGCTGCTCCTCTGCGGGCCCCGCCCCCTCTGCTTGGGTGATGCCGGGGCACCCGGGGGCCAGCCAGGCCTGACGTCGCATGCCCTCGGGTCACGGGGCACCTGGAGGTTTCCTTGTTCCTCACGCTAGCGTGAGCCGAGGTAGCTCTGACACACAGATACCGTCATGGACACGCAGTGTCACAGTCACAGGCCTGGTGCGGCTTCTGTCTCAGCCTCGCCGGCCCGATGCCTGCCAGGTGGACAGCTGCCCCCTCCCCTCCTTCCCGGCTGGCGGTCCCTCAGGGCTGCAGTGGCCGCGGCTCCACTCCCGCAGCCCGAGCCCTGTGACCCGAGTGTACCGTCGGCCCGGCGGGGGGAGCCACGATCAGACGTGGCTGCGGAACAGCCGCCCGTGCAGGGCTGGCGGTTAATTAAAAGCTCCGTGCACTCAGTGATTAACTAGTCACAGCATGGTGGCCGTGGCGATACGCGGGGACTTCTCGCTGGAGTCAGCTCCGAAGCTCCAACCGTGCGTCTCTGGCGGCCGACGCAGCAGGAGGCGGGGCGGCCCCAGCGCGGCCGTGGGAGCAGTTTGCAGGGCCGGGTCCCGGCTGCCTCCCCGTGCAACACTGGCAGGTGGAAGAGAGAAAGGGGACGTGGGTGGAGGGGAAGGCGTGGGCGTCACGGCGAGGGACGGGGCAGGTGGGGATGTGGGAACTGCTGGGCGGGGGCACCTGGCCGGTGCTGGCCACACCCCTCTTCGTCTCAGGGCAGTGCGGCGCCGCCGTTGGTGCCACCGTAAGTCACGGCCCTGCCACTGACTGCCCGTGTGACCGGGGGCAGGATTTGTAGCCTGTGTGCCTCGGGTTCCCTACCTGGATGAGCAAGGGTCTGGGACTCTTAACCACACTTCTCTCTGGGGTCCTGGGCGGGACGAGTCCCCGCAAAGGTTTCCCAACTCAGTGAGCGGGTGGAAGACACAGCCGCGACCGGCGTTACCGGAGGAGGTGCGGAGCCCGGAAGGTGAAGAGGGACTTTGGCTCCAATTTACCAGGCACCGCCCCCATCTCCCTCCCCTCCCCCTGAAGGATGGGGCTTTGAGAGCCCGGAGGCAGGGAGCTCGGGGCCTGGAGGCGGCCACGCCTGCTCCGCTGACAGCTCCAGGGGCTGCGTGTCCAGGGGTCTCCGTGCTGGTGCCCGGCGCTGTCTCTACCGCCTCCATTGAGCTCCTGCGCCCTGTCCCATCCCGCCCGTCAAGGGACCCCCATGTGGCTGCATGCGGCTGTGACTTTGGC